CTAGTCATCATTTTCACTAGATAATGTTTTTGGAAGAAGAGAAAACAGAAAAGCATATAAGGGAGAGAAGAGAATCATTTGTGATAGCAGCCACATACAAGATTTCATTTTGTGAATTATTTGAAATCCTGTGTTATGACTTTTAACATTTTCTTCTGCTCCTAGGTTATAATGTCTTAAATCAGTAGAATTGATTTGCTTAGCTAGCTTTCCTGAAATTTGTTCTTGAAACCAACACATTTCTTGATATAAGAGCTCAGATCTTTTTCCTCCTATGTAAATATATATATATATATGTATATATATACATAGCCTACCATCTTCCTTTTTATCTCTGGCTTGGCAGACTTTAAAATCTTTCTGCGATCTTAATGAATATCAAACTGTCTGTAAGATATTTCTTCTGAGATAGCTGATGTGGGTTATTCTTGAGGCCACTGAACTGCTTGAAAATTTTCCAAGTATTTGATGTCCAGCATGTTTATGTAGAGTGAGCCTGACTTGAGTTTCTTGTGTTTCATGGATCACCCCATCCTCTTTGTTTTATTAATTGTATTGGGGTGGGGGCCACCGCTCAGCTTGTTGGATCCTAGTTCCCTAACCTGGAAGCAAACCCTGGCCCCAAACAGGGAAAGCCCAAAATCCAGCCTCCCAGAAGCAGCTGGTATTGCTGGTTATTGTGCCTTATTTCAGGGTCTGGATATGTATACACACATTTTTATATATTTTCCCTCTACCCAACACTTGTACTATCAATTATATTCACCCACACAATGGAGTGTTACACAGCCATTGAAAATAATGAGGCAGATGTATACGAACTGACTTGGAAAGGTATATGATCAAAGGCACAAGGAAGGTGTATACCTCTTTCGTTTCATTTTTTTTAATGCTTTAAATATAATTTCAGTACGATAAGATTCACCCTTTAAAGTGTACAGTTTTCAGTGATTTGATTCCACATTTCCATCACCTTAAGAAATCCCATACTCCTCTCATCTAGGTTTTTACAGTCTGTTGTTAAAAACCAATCACGCTGCAGTGGATAAGTCTTTTTTTTTTTTTTGGCTGTGTTGTGGGCGTGTTGGATCTTAGTTCCCCAATCAGGATCAAACTCACGCCCTCTGTGTGTTAAGTGTGGAGACTTAGCCCCTAACCGCTAGGGAAGTCCCCTGCACTGGATGGTCTTATACACATACCATTTCACACTTGTGCAAGAATATTTGTAGGACAAGCACGTGCTAGGTGACATGATTCGTGCATTTAAAATTTTTAAAGTAGTTGCCCTCTCCAGAGTTTATGCTCTCACTAAGTCAAGTCAAGTTGCTCAGTCGTGTCTGACTCTTTGCTGACTCTACTGCATGGACTATAGCCTACCAGGCTCCTCTGTCCATGGGATTTTCCAGGCAAGAGTACTGGAGTGGGTTGCCATATGCTCTCACTACCAGGGTGTAAAAGTCCCTCTTTTCCATTTCCTGACTAGTATAGTCCTTAACCAAACTTTATCTTTGCCAATCTGACAAATAATCTTATCTCATTGTAATTTTCATTTGCATTCTCTTATCCTAAGTGAGGGTGATTACTTTTACATGTTTAGGGGTTACTTGTCTTTCCTTTTTTTTGGACTGATTTTTCATACCCTTTGATTTTCTACAGGGTAGCTGACCTTTTTAAAAATATGAGCTCTTTATGTATTAGGGAGAAAAGCTGCTTGTGATATGAACTGAACGTGTTTTCCCCACTTTTTGTTTTTTAGTCTTTATTCATTTTTTTTCTTTTATCATGCAGAATTTAAAAAAATTTTTGTCATCAAATTTGGCAGACTTCTGCGTCTTGTAACATACTTAGCCTTTTCCTACTCCAAGATTATAAAACAAAATTCTCCCATATGTTTTTCTTAAACTGTAAGTCTCTTCTCATCCCTCACCTGCCCTGCCACGTTTAACTCTTAGATCCATCTGGAATTTATTTTTGTGTAAGATAGGAGGTATGGCTCCACCTTCTTTTCTCTAGAGGGCTAACGTTTTCTCCCACTGATTTGAAATGTCACTTTTACATTGTCCTCTTGATTAAGAACAGTGTGAGCAATTTTAAATATTAGCTTTCACTCTTTAGGAGTGGTAGTCAGGGATTTCCCTGGTGGTCCGTGCTTAAAACGTTGCACTTCTAATGCATGGGGCGCTGATTCAATCTTGGATCAGCGAACCAAGAGCCCACGTGTGGTCAGGAAATAAAAATAAATTAATTTTTTTTTTAAAGTGGTAGGTGTCTGGGCAGTGCCTTCTGATCTCTTGGGGGCACCTATAAGAACTGCAGTCCCCTTCTCTCCCTGCCAGATCCTACTACTGCAAACTGCTATCACCCAGGGGATGTGTCTTACTCTAGTGTGTGAAACCAAGAAGTAGTTTGTAACCTCTGATCTAAGGACTTCCTCTTGGAAGAGGGGCGGCCAGAGGCCCATCTCCTGAATCCAGAGTCATTACTTTAATGAGGGCTTCAACAAGAGCCCAGAAGTAATGGGGGAATCTTTCCAAAGAAAACTCAGCTCTTCACTTTGGAGTCATTAGTTTCTACCCTCAGGTTGTCTTTCTGTTTTAGAATCCTAGTCAATTTCTACACAGTCGTTCTGGTAGATTTATCTGATGGGGCCATCTGTCCTCCTGGGGAAAGAAATACTGGCTTGGGCTATGTTGTGACTGTGTTCTGACAGCATGTAGAACTGGGTGTGCAGAGGTAAGAGTCACCTCTTCTAATCTGAAAGTGCTTAGTCAGAAAAGAGTGTGGCCCTTTAAAAGGCAGAATTCTCAGAGTCGCCCTGACTATAAAGGCTTGTGGCATTCTACCCAAGGGGCGCTGGAGGAGAAGGTCTGTCTGGCAGGACTGATGCCGCGAGTAGGGTGGATGTCGCCAACAAGTGTTCTGTCGAGTGTCTGGGCAGCCCACTTGGTAGGGGAGGGTGTGCAGTGGCCTTTAATTTCATCCCTCTTGTACAGTTGTTCTTTTACTGGGTCTACTCAGGGAGTAGCTTGTCCCCGAGCTGTGGGGGAGCAGAGGCTGTCTGTGCTTGAAAGTCTTGGTGGCGGTGACACTTGGGAGGAGCCACTGGCGCTGCCTTCCTCTCGGGGTGTGTGTTACCCTGGGGCATCTCGTGCGCTGGAGGAGCTGGTACAGGTGTTAGGGGAACCAGGGAGAGGCGTGAAAGGGTTCTGCCCTGATGCAAGCTGTTTTTCACATACATTTAGTTCATTCTGAAAACTGTTAGACACTTAAAAAATGAATTTATAGAGGGTACAGCGGAGCTCCATTTAAATAGTCATGTTGAAGTAAAGAAATAATATGCATTTTATAGGCTTAATTATACATCATAATTAGCTAATGTAGTCCATGTGATTGTGATGTCTGGGAGACCAGCCCAGGGAAGAGTAATGAGCAACAGCTAATGTGGTTCCGCATGTTAAATGTCAGGATTTAAGGGCGGACCTTCACACAAGTTTCTCCCATGTCTGCTTGATGGTAGTTTTCCAGCTTCTCCTTCCTGTCCCTTCTCACCCCTCAAAAGCCGTGTGAGCAAAGTCATCCTAGCATGCCCCTGGGTGACTCAACATCTGAGTCCTAGACACAGATTTCACTTGGCCCGTGCGCCTCCCACAGTTGTGGCCATGGCTGCTAGCGTTGGATAAGCTGTCCGCACTGACCTCCTCCTGTCTCCCATCAGCTCTCCTCTCCACCAGTGATCCACTCAGAGGGATAATCCACCAGCAGCTGAACCCTGTCACCCACCAACGGGGAGGTCCCACATGGGGGGATACTTACCCCTTCCAGACCCTTCCTGAGGAAAGCAAGTTTCCTTCCATGTGGCAGGAGTAATTTTTATATTTGTTTGGCCTTGTGACCGATGGGATGGGAAGTTGGGGGGGAAGTGGAGAGGAGGTGGCAGTTTTAACCGAGAAAAAAAAACCTTAGTAGAAACTCTGCCTTCTTCGGGCGTGTCCCTCTTCTGGGCATCTCTTCAGGATTTCATTCCTCCGTCCAACTGCCGTTCACAACTGCCCTTTCCAACGGCTCCAGAACTCTTGGCCTTGGCATTCCGTGATGTAAATTATTCCACGCATGGCTCGAAATGGGTGCGAAGCAATGTTGCCAGGTGTCGGATCACTAGTGTAAGTTTCCTGAATCTCGGGGGAGGGAGGAGAAAGAAAAGGGGGAGAACCGCTCTTGGAATTTGTACAGTTGTTATTGTTTCAGCCAGAACACAGCGATTGTGCTGGCTGAGCTGGATGCTCTCGATGGCTGGGGAGAGAGGGAGCTCTGGGCTTAGAGCTGGGGTGAACTGGGAGTTGAGAGTTTCTACTTTAAAGATTCTAGTGTTAGGATGTATACTGTTTACAACTGAACAGTTGGCATTGCTGCTGCGGAGGGAGGAACTTGGGACCTTCATTCAGCGCAAAGCCTGTCACAGTACTGCCTGGGGCAGTGGTGCCTCTTCTGTCTCCAAAAGTAGGGAGAATTGACTTTTCTGTTTTCCTAAAGATAGTGAAAATATGGCTAGAAATCCGGATTGCTCACCAGGTTTGGAAACATCTAGTCACAAAATTCAAAGACCTCTGTATGCACGGGATTTTTTTAAAAACAAAACTGTGATTGCTCCTCTTGTTCACTATACTTTTTGAGGAAGTTACTGTTCCTGGTTTACTGGCCCTTTGGGGAATTGCATGTGAAGGGTTGCTGCCAACCCCCTTAGATTTGTCTGGATTCCTTTTTGACTTGTGAGTTAAGGATTTGTGTTCAATAAAAACAATTTAAATTGAATACTTGATCTCTTGAATGACCACAAAAATTTAAAAATCACATTCATAATAAGTAATTAGAGAGAAGTGCACATGAATTACAGTTATTTATCTAGGAAAGTATAAGGTATATTTTTGTGTTGCGTTGATGCTGGTGGCTTTAATCTGCTCTGCTGAAACAGTGCTTTCTTATTCCTTCTCTTTATAGTTGTCATGGATGATGATGACGACTCGTGTCTCCTTGATCTTATTGGGTAAGACGCTCATTCCAGGATTGGGGTGAATTGAGTGTGTGAGGTCTGCTGTACTGAAACAACCTAATAAGCACATTGAAACCAAGTGGGGGTTTTTAAAATAAAAATTAAATAATCATCAGAGGTATAGAGATATATATAGGTATAGTAGGAAAGTATAATATACCTACCTATAGGTATATATAGGTATAGTAGGAAGATAGAGTGACATGGATTAACATAGGAGTCATCATTAGGTAATCCTAATTAAATTCATTTTCTAAGAAATCCTAGGAGGCTGAAATGAGTGATAGTAAGAAATGAAATGACAGCAAAACAAAACAGACAAAAACTACTAATAGTTTTAAAACAAGGAGAGGATTCTACTTGAGCTAATATGTCATTTTCTTTTTACCCTAGTAAAAATGAACTCTAAATATAAGTAATGTATTTATTTGCTGTTGTCTCTGTTTGGTGGTTGTTTTCTAGAGACCCACAAGCATTGAACTATTTTCTACATGGACCTAGTAATAAATCGGTGAGTAATACTCAGGCTGTCACAGTCATACATTTTGTTTCTTCTTTTACAGTCTAAGTGATCATTTTTTTGAATTTGTACCTTTGCAGAGCAATGAGGACTTGACTAATGCAGGATATTCTGCAGCCAATTCAAATTCGATTTTCGCCAACTCTAGTGTGAGTATTGGAAACTGCAGTGATCAGGTGTTTCTGTCTCATTGATGCCTGATGACTGGAAGCTATAATTGCTTTTGAATCATGATGGGAATCCTCACTTCATCTTTTGCAGTTGCCACAAGAGGAAAATCTATTGAATTATGTTGACAGTTTTTACTTTTAACTTAGCCTATTAAGATTTTTACTTTACTATTTTCCTAAGCTTTCAATTTTCTTTCTAAAATATCACGGACACATAACCTGAGAAACTTAGAGTCTTTTGAACACTGTTACATAAGCTTTAAGAAAAAATCCTTCTGAATTATGGTTATGTTCTCATCCTTTTCATCTTAAACAAGGAAAAAGATCATAGTAACTGATAACTATTAAGCACTCAGTATGTTCTTGGCACTAAGAGCTTAACAAATATCAACCTCACTAACCCTTACAATAATTCTGTGAAGTATATAGTAGGTTCTATTAGTATCCATATTTGAAGATGAGGGAACTGAAGATTGGTACTTACCGAGTATTACACACAGCCAGGAGTTGCAGAGCTTGGAATTGAACCCAGGCCACCAGGGTCCAGGGTGCAGGTCCTTAAACTCTAGGAGCATCTAGACAAGAAATCTGACCTCCAGGACAGGGGATTCCTGCCTGGAAACTGTATCCAGATGGCTGTGTTTAAGCCCATGTTACTTTAATCTTTTAGCTGCTTTGTTCTCCACGGATGATAGTCTAGAGTCCCAAGTTTGAATCCTTGCTCTGCCACTTTCTAGCTCTATAACCTTGCTTATATCACTAAATTTCTATGAGGCTCAGGTTCTTTATTTGTAAATCCAGGAGAATGATAGATCTACCTCATAGGCTGGTTAAGATGAATGGAACTAGTCCATGGGCACACTGTTCAGTTAATGTCAACTTATCATCATCATCAGGGTCTTTATTTTCTTCATCCATAATATGGAGTACCATTGGAATAGCATTTAGAAAGTTCTTGGAAATGTACAATTCTTTTAACGTATTTGAGTGTATACAAAGTATGTCAGATCATAACATGTAAGACTCCTCCACATGCTAGGGGTGGCTTTAAAGTCACAACACTATCTCCTGTAAGGCTTGTGAATCAGTAGCAATTCTGAAATTCATTCTGAGTGGGCAATAACTGCATGCAAGCCTATAACCCATAAAGGAGGTATTTAGCCTGTTTCCCAACACTAATGATTTTTACTCACCAGCTCTCCCACTTCCATGTGAGTATTAATTCTAACTCTTCAGACTGCTTCATTCAGGGTGTATTTTTGGGGAACTTGGATTATGTCATGGCAGTAGAAATATTTTAAAAGCTTTGAAAAATATGAAATTTTAAACCCATGGTCTGTTAATTTGTGCACTGTGAAAACATCACCACTCAGGAGATAATCCACTGTTGCCTTGACCTTTCTCTGCAGAAATAAGCAAACAAACCTCCTTGGTTTCAGTGGCTTTTCCCCACTTCCTTTCAAATGACTTCAAGTTCTAACTGGGTGTCCGGTGAACTAGTCTTGCTTTTCTACCTGTTTCTTCCCGTCTTCTAGCCCCCAGAACACCATACCTTACTAACCTATGGCTGAGAATTTCTAGGGTTTTGAAAACTGGACTGTTCATTCTTCTTCTTTTTTTTTTTTCAGTCACACTGTGTGGCTTGCAGGATCTTAGTTCCCCAATCAGGGATTGAACCCAGGTCCTGGCAGTAAAAATACCAAGTCCTAACTGCTGGACCACCAAGGAATCCCTGGATTGTTTATTCTTGACTGATCTATTTTTAAATGTTTTTCTTCACCTTTTAACATTTTAAATTATGTTACAATATATATAACAACAAGTTTACCATCCTAACCATTTTTAAGAATACAGTTTGGTAGTGTTAAGTATATTTACATTGCCTTCACCTTGTGTTAAATAACTATTGATTTCATTTTTCTTTCTTTTATAATCTTGTCGTATCCCATGATAAACTTCTGACCCAGTGGAGTGTCTCTGATTTATCAGTAACTGTGTTCAGTTCTCTACATATGCCTGTTTTGTTGTCTCTAATTGGAATGCCCAGACCTTAGGGACTCATTACGGACAGACACTAATGCACAAGTGAGCACTTGACAAGTGGTGACCAACTTTTACTCTTGAATAGGACACTGATATAGTTTTTAAAGCATCATAGTGAGCTGATTACTTCTAAGAAATCAAATGCCCATTCACTCATTTCACATCGGAATCTTCTTTTCATCCAGACTGATTTTTCCTGGACTGGGACAGGTTAGCACTAGGGGAGTTCTGAGAAACCTTGAAAGTCAAGGCTGAATCTGGGATACCTTCGGGACATCTAGTAGAACCACACTCAGAACTCCCAAAATTCACGTCTCATCCTGTGGTACAAAGAACTAGACACTGCTGTCTCCTGGATACACACATATCCTTGGCTGAGTCCCATTCAAGCTTTGGACTTGGGAGCGATCCTGAAAAAATAATGCCTATGCCACTATCTCAAAGAATAAAGCTACTCAGGTAGCCATGAGTATGTTTGCATTATTGATCTGTTCCCTATAAAATAATTTACCAGAGCAATGAATGCTTATACTTACCAAAAAAAAAAAAAAACTTAAACATCATTACTAAGGGAATCAAGTATCAGAATAAGATGAGCAGTTTGGAGAGTTGAGTCTAAAAAGCAGACTGTTATGCTTTATTCATATTCAAAAGTGAGATTCGTTTTTTGTTTAAGAATCTTTCAGAGGTGAGATATGCTGTGTAACCTCCTGCTTATTTTTTTAGAATGCTGATCCTAAATCAGCCCTCAAAGCTGTAAGCAGCCAGCTTGGAGAAGGGCCCAGTGATGGACTGCCACTTTCAAGTAGCCTTCAGTTTCTCGAAGATGAACTTGAGTCTTCTCCTCTTCCTGATCTCAGTGAGGACCAACCTTTCGACATTCTTCAGAAATCCTTGCAGGAGGCCAATATCACTGAACAGACATTGGCAGAAGAGGCATATCTGGACGCCAGTATAGGTTCGAGCCAACAGTTTGCACAAGCTCAGCTTCATCCCTCTTCATCAGCATCCTTTACTCAGGCTTCTAATGTTTCTAATTACTCAGGTCAGACACTGCAGCCTATAGGGGTGACTCATGTGCCTGTTGGCACATCGTTTGCAAGCAATACGGTGGGTGTGCACCATGGCTTTATGCACCACGTGGGGATCAGTGTGCCCAGCCAGCATTTGTCTAATAGCAGCCAGATTAGTGGTTCTGGTCAAATACAGTTAATTGGGTCATTTGGTAATCAACCTTCCATGATGACTATTAATAACCTAGATGGATCACAAATAATACTAAAGGGTAGTGGGCAGCAAGCCCCCTCAAATGTTAGTGGAGGGCTTCTCGTTCACAGACAGACTCCTAATGGCAACTCCTTGTTTGGGAACTCCAGTTCCAGCCCAGTAGCACAGCCTGTTACTGTTCCGTTTAACAGCACAAATTTCCAAACATCTTTACCTGTGCATAACATCATCATACAAAGGGGTCTTGCACCAAATTCAAATAAAGTCCCAGTTAATATCCAGCCAAAGCCTATCCAGATGGGTCAGCAAAACACATACAATGTGAACAACTTGGGAATACAACAGCACCATGTTCAGCAAGGGATCTCGTTTGCCTCTGCAAGCTCACCCCAGGGCTCAGTGGTTGGTCCGCACATGTCCGTGAACATCGTAAACCAACAGAACACAAGGAAGCCTGTCACCTCGCAGGCTGTGAGCAGCGCCGGGGGCAGTATCGTTATTCATTCTCCCATGGGCCAGCCTCACACACCCCAGAGTCAGTTCCTCATACCTACAAGCCTTTCTGTCAGTTCCAACTCGGTACACCACGTCCAGACCATCAATGGGCAGCTTCTTCAGACTCAGCCCTCTCAGCTCATTTCCGGCCAGGTGGCCTCAGAGCATGTCATGTTGAACAGAAACTCTTCCAACATGCTCAGGACCAATCAACCATATTCTGGACAGATGCTGAACAACCAGAGTGCCGCCGTCCAGTTAGTGTCTGGGCAGACATTTGCCACCTCCGGAAGCCCGGTGATTGTCAACCACGCCTCTCCTCAGATCGTCGGCGGACAGGTGCCTTTGCAGCAGGCATCACCCACCGTCTTGCACCTGTCCCCTGGGCAGAGCAGCGTCTCCCAAGGAAGACCTGGCTTCACCACCATGCCCTCGGTGACAAGCATGGCAGGACCTAGTCGGTTCCCTGTTGTCAGTTCATCCAGCACTGCCCATCCTAGTCTTGGGTCTGCGGTTCAGTCTGGTGCATCAGGATCAAACTTTACAGGAGATCAGCTGACCCAGCCCAACAGGACTCCAGGACCGGTCAGCGTGTCCCATCGTCTTCCAGTTCCTTCTTCCAAGTCTACCAGCACCTTCAGTAACACACCTGGAGTAGGAAGCCAGCAACAGTTCTTCTGTCAGGTAACGTTCCCTTTATCAAACAAATGCTTGGGTGATTACAGAATGGAAGAATGGAATATGTATTTGTAAGAATATAATTTTCATCCTAGGTTCCCAATTTATTATCTTAAGATGTTCAACTTATGATTGATTGCCTCTTTTCTTCTTAGTTAAAATGTTCTATCCTGCATAGCATTGTGGTTTAGGGTGGAGACTTCATGGATTTCAATCTAGGCTGTATGACTGGGAACAAGTCTTACCTTAACTAACCTCTCTAGACTTAAGTTTTTCCATCAGTATAATGGAGTCTGTATTAATAATACTACCATCCCACACAGTTATTGAGAAAGTTAAGTGAAATAATCTGTATAAAGCGCTTAGCATGGTCCCTGGCAAGTGGCAAAACACTCAGCTCAGATGTGCTTAGCTCATCATGTCCAACTCTTTGCAACCCAGACTGTTAGCCGGCCTCTGTCCATGGGATTTTTCAAGCCAGAATACTGGAGTGGGTTGTCATTTTCCTCCTCCAGGGGATCAAAGAGCCAATATTAATACATATACTTGGTGGAATGTGTTATAGGCATTTAAAAGGAAAGATTATTTCAGATTATTTACTTACATCATGGTGGCTCAGACAGTAAAGAATCTTCCTGCAGTGTGGGAGACCTGGGTTCAATCCCTGGGTTGGGAAGATCCGCAGGAGAAGGGAATGGCAACCCACTCCAGTATTCTTGCCTGGAGAATTCTATGGACAGAGGAGCCTGTCAGGTTACAGTCCGTGGGGTCGCAAAGAGTCAGACATGAATGGGTGACTAACACTTTGGCTTCCCTCTCACTTGCATCATATAGAAGCCACGGGGTCCTATGGCTATGGACTGGGTAGAGAAGTCGTGGCTGTTTCTTGGATGCCAACTGGAAAGGCCCAGGTACCCGCTGAGACTCAGCAGTGGGTAACTGGCCTGCACAGAGGGATGCGTACAGGGGGAAGGATACAGGGCAGTGGATTGGACCAAGTACTTGCGCCTGTTCTTACCAGGCTGCAGTGCAGGTGAATGACCAGGCAGTCAGTTACCCCATGTGAAGATGATGTTCCTGAAAAGCATTTCAAACATCTGTCAGCTGTGGTCCCTCACCCCATCTGCCAGTCCTTGAACTCCTGTGGCTTTTGGCTCTCGCTCACTCTGAGAATGTTCTGCAGCTCCAGTTCCATACCCCACCTTCCCGCTGTGGTCTGCCCTCTCAACACCTCCATTTTCCCTGCCTTTCTTCTCCACACTTAGAAGAACTCAAAAACTTCTCTCTACCACGTAGGTCAATATTTTTTAAATTGTATACCTTTGACTTAGTAATTCCATTAAGAATCCTAAGGAAACAGGTTATTTATGATTAAGGATGTTCAGTGTACACTTTTGGCATCAAAACTGTTTGTGTGTTTTGTTTGTTAAATTTTATTTATATTTATTTGGCTGTCCCACGTCTTAATTGTGGCATGCCAGATCTTCGATCTTAGTTGTGACATGTGGGATCTAGTTCCCTGAACAAGGATCAAACCCAGGACCCCTGCATTGGGAGCGAGGAATACTAGCCACTGAACCACCAGGGAAGTTCCTCTGTGTATTTTGAAATAATAGACTTATAGACTTATAGAAAAATTAAAGTTGTGAGAATAATGTAAAGAATTCTCGTGTACCCTTCACCAAAATTCTCCAAATGTTAACTTTTTGCCCCATTTGTTTTATTCTTCTCTCTCTCTCTGTTTCACACAAACACATACGCAAACACACACACAGAGTTTTGAAGGGTAAATTGCAGGCATGATGCCTCTTGACCCCAACATACTTCAGTCTTAACATGTTTATTTCTTGAAGTCAGGGGCATTCCCCTACATAACCACAGTACTGTTATCAAAACCGAGAAGTCAGCATTATTACAATATTGCTATTAAATTTACAGACTTTATTCTGTGTAGTTCATTTTCTCAATAATGTCCCTTATGGCAAGAGAGAATAAAATTTGTCCAGGATCCAACCTAGGATCACTGCCTAATTCTGTTGTCATGTCTTTAAATCTGAAACAGTTTCTTCATCTTTTATGACCTTGACTTTTTGAAGAGTACAACTCAGTTATTTTATTGAGTGTCCCTCAATTTGAGTTTATCTAATGTTTCCTCATGATGAAATTCAGGTTATACATTTTTGGTGGCCTTCCCTGGTGGCTTAACAGTAAAGAATCTGCCTACCAATGCAGTAGATGTGGGTTTGATCCCTGGTTCAGGAAGATCCCCTGGAGAAGGAAACAGCAACCCACTCTGGTATACTTGCCTGGGAAATCCCATGGACAGAGGAGGCTGGTGGGGTATAGTATATGGGATCGCAAAGAGTCAGACTCAACTGAACAACTAAACAGCAACACAGTTTTGATAGGATTCCACAGAGTGGTGTATGTGTCCTCATGGTGTGGACTTGTCCCATTCCTGGTGATATTAACGTTGAGCACTTGCTTAAGATGGAATCTGCTTCATGTGGTGTCTGATGTATCATTAATAAGCTTCTTTGGGGAGCTACATTGAGATTATGTAGATATCGTTTCTTGTCAAACTTGAACAAACTAGTTTAAGCTTTCATTGATAATTCCCGACTGAATCAATTATTACTCAGTCAGCTGTTACTGTGATGGTCACCACATAGAGACTTTCTAATTCCATCAAGTTTATTCTACCTTAATTGTTAGCATTCTGCTCTAAGGAAGAACTTTCCTATTTCTCCCTTTTACTTCTATCAGTATAGACTCATAGATTCTCATTTAATGAGTTAAAAATTGTTGCAATAAAAAAAAATTGTTGCAATCATTTATTTTGATGCTCAAATTGATTTTTTAAAATTATTTTTTAACATGAAACTTGAGATCATACGCTCTTTTTTTTTTCCACTTTGATGCTTAGGTTTCTTTGGGTTTATATGTTTATTTAATTTTTTTGTTGCATGGCATGTGGGATCTTAGTTCCCTGACCAGGGGTTAAACCCACATCCCCTGCTTGGCAGCGCAGAGTCCTAACTACTGGACCACCAGGGAGCTTCCACTCAAGTTGATTTGATGGCCATTGAGCGCCCTTCCAAATTGGCTGCTGGTCCCTCTGACATGTTTACATTTTGCTTTGAGCACTGCCTTTTAATTTCTGGGAAAACATGATGTTCCATGTTTGCCTTTCACTTTCCTGCCCCTGCCTTGGAATTCAACCATTCAACAAAGGCCTTGTTCCTTCTAGTGGAGAACAGTACTTAGAAGCCAAGATCTGAGCACTACATATTCATTGCTACTGACATTGTCTCAACTGGGACTTATATATATTTACACATACACAGCATCTGTAGCTATCTATTATCTGTTTATCTATATATCTATATTTAAAACAGTAGGTTCATATTGATACTTCAATTCTAATCCAGGACCACCAGATTCGTTATTCAAGTCTCCTTTTCCATATTTATCACTCCCTTTTCTAATAGTGAAAAAGCCTGCCCCATAATATATTTATTTGCCCAATCCTAGAATACATAGAAAATAGTTTTTAGAATCACTAATGCATGGGCTTCCCTGGTGGCTCAGAGGGTAAAGCATCTGCCTGCAATGCAGAAGACCTGGGTTTGATCCCTGGGTTGGGAAGATCCCCTGGAGAAATGGCAACCCACTCCAGTATTCTTGCCTGGAGAATCCCATGGACAGAGGAGCCTGGTAGGCTAGACTCCACGGGGTCACAGAGTCAGACATGACTCCACTGTTTAAAACAAACCTACTTCAGATTTGATTGCTGACTTACAGCTCCGTCTTTTCCCTAAGGGTATATAGTCAAAACACTGTTCAAAAGTTACTAGGGTTAGTTACTTACTTTTCCTTCGTTGGTGTGGCTGTGCTATTCTTTTGAAATATGCTTTTGCTTATTTGTTTCTGTTTGTATTTTGTTCTAGAGTTCTTTCCCTGCTACTTTTGTTGATTTTATCTATTTAATTTCTTTTGAGCGAGTGAACCATTGGTGCAGTCCCACATGTCAGGGCTGTGCAGAGTGTGCGGGGCAGTCTCCCTCCTCGCTGGCCCCTCTCCTGCTCACAACCCCTCCATCCTTTCCTGCCAGTTCCCCTCCATCACCTCTATTTGCCAGTCTCAGTAGTCTCTCCTTTATCTGTTTGTTTTCACACAAGTAAGCAGATACATGTGTATTTTCTCATTTCCCCTCTTTTCTTACTCAAATATAGTATACTATAGATATTCTTCTATACTTCAGTTGCAAAAAAGTTTTCTAAATCCAATATAGTAATTCTCCTACTATAGGATTTATATATATATAAATTACTGAATATAATGAAGTATTATATAACTGTTTAAAATGTTTTTGAAAAATAATTAAAGATTTGAGGGAAGGCTTATAAAATCATTTTGGGCTTCCCTGGTGGCTCAGCTGGTAAAGAATCTGCCTGCAATGCGAGAGAACTGGGTTCAATCCCAGGGTTGGGAAGATCCCTGGAGAAGGGAAAGGCTACCCACTCCTGGATTCTCGCCTGGAGAATTCCATGGACTCTGTAGTTCATGGGGTCACAAAGAGTCAGACCTGACTGAGCAACTTTCACTTATAAAATCATTTTAAGTGCACATTTAAACATGAAATATTTAAAATGTACATTTAACTGCAAAATTGTTAATAAGCAATTTGCTTTCTCTTTTAGAAAAATGATGAAAGACAATATGGTGAACTAGAAAATAGAAAACCCTCTTGCTTACCAAACACTCAGAAACTTGATTAAAAGGAAATGTACTACTCCATTAACAGCAGTTCCTTGGATGGTGGAATTACAGATACTCTGTTTTCTTCTAATTTAAAAAATTTACCCAGGTAGAGGAGGTGATACCTGGAAAGCATTTATCAACATATTGATGCATTTTTTTAAAAAGTAAAACTTCCCATTGGTAACAATTAGAAACAGTTCCAAAATAGCTTAGAATGAAAAGTAAGCCCTCTTCTTCCAGAT